ACACACACACACACACACACACACACACACACACACACACACACACACACATACACCAACACACCCCCGCTCTTCCTCCGTCACAAAGACAGGACTCAGCACACAATTGTATTTAATGACGGCTCTTGCCACCCGGTAATAGCACTGAGGCATTTTACACACATTGTGTCGGGGGCATTTTTCACATCTTTTTCGCACATCTTTTTTCACATCTTATTCCACGTACTGCACCAACGATGGACTAACTATCTCTACGTCCTATCCTTCTTCTTTTTCTTGTTTTAATTTTCGTACTTCTTCTTCTTCTTCTTCTTCTTCTTCTTCTTCTTCTTGTTCTTCTTCTTCTTCTTCTTCTTCTTCTTCTTCTTCTTCTTCTTCTTCTTCTTCTCGTTTTTGTTGTTCTTCTTCTTTTTCTTCTTCTTCTGTCTCCCACTACATGTATTACCATTACCAGTATCATTATTATACCCGGGAAGCTGAGAATGTTTCTGAGTGTTCTATGGTCTGCTGAGGTAATACTATAGTGTAAAGTGCATAGAGCTTGCTTTCGAGTCGGGACATGCGCAATACAAATACTATTTATTATTATTATTATTATTATTATTGGGGAGATAAGGACGATAGATGTTTGATAGGAAAGAAGGAGCACACCACACCAGAGCACCCGCCAACCACCCACACATACAGTGAGCTAGGCATGCAGTCTTTTCAACTCGTTAAAACCGAAGCGAACGCTTAATAAGTCTATGACTGACCAGCATCGGACTAAAGCCAGTGTTGCGAAACATTTCAAACTATTATACATAAAATGAAAAACACAAATTTGCATATTTTATACATGTATGCCTGCTGTTGCCGGACTTATAAAATTTCAGATAAAATGAAATAAAACTTGAAGAGGAAAACAATATGTTTACAAAACATTCAGTAACAGTTTTACGGCACTTGCAACACAATAAGGTAATGTAAGTGCCGAAAATTAGAGGTGTTACAAGAGAGTAACAAACACATTAAAGAAGAAGGAAAGATAAGGACGATAGACGTTTGATAGGATAGAAGGGGCAATCCACATCAGAGCACCCACCAACCCACCCACTGTGTGAATTGTTTTGTTTTAGTAGAGGTTTTACGGCGCTCGCAACTTCATAAGGTAATGTAAGTGCCGAAGATTAGAGGTGTAACAAGAGAGAAACAAACCCAAAAAAAAATGAAGGAAGAGAAGAGATAAAGAAGATAAAATATGTTTGATAGGAAAGAAGGAATAAACCACATCACAGCACCCGCCAACCACCCACTGTGTGAATAATGAAGTTACAACGCTTTTTTATTTTTTTTTGAAGTGCCCCCAAAAACAAAACAGCGCGTAAGTTTCAGCGACATCAAATGACCAGAACACGCCTCCTAAATGAGCTAAGACACCCTGCACTACTCGTATTACACTTTTTAGTTTAGTTTTAGTAGAGGTTTTACGGCGCTCGCAACTGTATAAGGTCATATGAGCGCCAGAAGATTAGAGGTGTTACAAGAGAGTAGCAAACATTAAAAAGATGAAAGGGAGATAAGGACGATAGATGTCTGATAGGAAAGAAGAAGCAAACCACACCAGAGCCCCCGTCAACCACCCACATATATTACACCTTAAACCATCCCCGCCCCCCACAAAACTCACACAAGAAAGTCCACACAGTAAATTATATATAAATATATACACTCCGTAAGAGAGTAAGTAAGTTCCTTACATCCATCCATTAACCACACAGAAAGTATACACTCCGTAAGTTAGTAAGTAAGTTCCTTTAAACCGTAAGTATACACTCCGTAGGTAGTTCCTTTCACCCATCCATCAACCACACAGAAAGTACACACACACACACACACACACACATACAC